GGCCGTCTGGCCTTGTCCCGTGCCTCTGGCAGGCGTGCTGTGTCCCCGGTGCCCCTCCTGGTGACCTGAAGGCACTGCTGTATCTTCTGGCCCTTGGTAGTTCCGTCTTGTTATCAGTACAGCCCCGTCCTTTGGGACCTTCAAAGGTAGAACGTTCTTCATGCCTCTCAACCAGCATCACGCAGAGGGAGCAGAGCGGCGGAGGCTCAGAAGGGGAAGCTGGCTCTAAGTTGGTGTCGAACAGGGGTCCCCTGCCAGGAGCAGGGTTTACAGTTGTGTTCTGCGGGTCCTTACTGCTTTTGTGACCGTTAGTCTCTTAAGGTCACAGCTAGTGCCTTGTTCCCCAAAGAGCGTGTCCTGGTCTCTCTCTTATCTATCTACCTACCTGTCTACCTACCTATCTTGGAGAGGAAGTAATAAGTATTTATTTATATATGTACATATGTATTTTAGTGGAGGCACTGGGGATTGAACCCAGGAGCTCATGCATACTAGCACATGCTCTACCAATGAGCCACCCCCCGCCTCCTGGTCTCTCTCCTTTGGCCTCTGCCCACCGTGGACAGCAGTCTCCCCCAGAATGGTGCTAAGGGTGCTTTGGTCAGCTCTAGGTGTGCTTAAACCCCTTTCCTTTCTTTTTCCCAGAAAATTATGGCAGGAGTTCTATTTCTTAAGCAATGGTAAGGAGTCTAAAAATATCTGAGGAAGTTTGAGCTTAATTTGAAAATCTCTAATCTCCTTTTTCCCTACTAGGATTCACTACAACATTTTCTATTGCCTGTATCTTCAGGAGAATTCCTGTGCTCAGGCCACGGACGTCAAAGAGGAACCGTCGGTCTGGCCAGGGTGCGTGTGTGTGGGAGGGTGTGTGTATGTGTTTTGTCGCTTCATGACTCTCAGACCTAAGGAGGAAAGATGTTTTGTTTTAACCACGTTTTTGAGGTATAGGTTACGTGACATAAAATTCAGCCATAGTAATTGTAAAATTCAGTAACTTTTAGTACATTTACTGAGTGTAACCAACATCATAATCCTGTTTTAGAACATTTTATCGTCTTAAGGGTAAGCAAGCCCCCCCCCCTTTGATTAAATCTTGTTCGTCCAGCTTGGTTCCCTGTTTGGTTTTGACAGTCCTTTGCCTGGTCTCTTCGTTTCTTGCCCTTTTCCCGATTTCCCTTCTGTGACAATTACAGTAAGAAGACCACCATCCAACTCACACATGAACAGCAGCTGATTCTGAGCCATAAGATGGAGCCCCTTCAGGTGGTGAAAATCATGGCCTTTGCAGGTAAGGGGGCCGCCACCGCTGGAACATCCCTTCCCCGTCCACACATCCCCCTGCCACCTGCCCGAAGGGCTTTACCTTAGTCTGTTACTGAACTGCCGCTATGAATCCTCTAAGAAGCGGTCCCCGGGGAGCGCCTGCTCTTCCTCACCCCTCCAGGGAGCGTCCGCACTGGAGTTCCTGGTGAGCAGACAGCCCATAGGAGTTGCTTTGTGGGTGGGCCACTGGGCCGACCCAGCCTGTGACACAGTATGTGCTTGGATGCTGGTTGCCTGCGGGGTGCCCTGTGGTGTCAGTCTCCTGTTCAGAGAGTTTCAGCAGCTCCCCAGCTTCCGTAGAGAGACGTCCCACCGCTCGGTGCTCGCCTGCATCGCTTGACGAGTTGCCTAGTTTTCTGCCTCAGTCAGCTCGCTGTGGTGACCGTCCCCTGAGCTGTTCTTTGCCTGAACTTCGCTCGTGCTATTTTCTCCCCCCGGAACCCCTTCCCGCTGCTTTTCTGACTAAGTGCCCTCCTAAAAGCAGCAGCCACCGTTCACTAGATGCCCGCCCTGGGCTGGTCCTGACAGTCTGTGAGCTTGCTTCCTTTTATAGGTAAGGTTTTGAAGCTCAGAGAAATTAAAATGACGTGGCCCAGATTAAATAAGCAAATAAGTGGTGGAGGTTGAATTCAGAGCTGGATCTGTTTCCCTCCGGGAACGTGCCTTGCCCTCGCCCCCGCCTCTCCCCGCTCCTCGGTCTCTCTGCCGTCCCATGTTGACCTCCGCCATCTCTCTCTCCTTCGTGGAGGCTTCCTTGGCTCTTTGAGTCCTTGTGACCTCTGAACTCTTAACTTTTTTTTTCAAGTATCACAATATTTGTTGATAGATACATGTGTGTGGAATCAGGGCCTGAACATGACTTGATGAATTAAGTAACTGATCATCTGTATTAAGTGTCTTGGTGTCTAATTACTTGGTAAGGACAGCCGACACACACGTTGTGTAAACACGTCCACAGTGTCCTTGACCTTCAGGCAGCCCTGGGGCGGGGGGAGGACGTGCTACTTTTCTTCTTTCACAGGTGAGATTTTTTTGTTTCCAGATCCATACTCTTTTTCACTCCACTATGTTATTATATTTTTTCTTTCTTTCTTTTTTTGGTGCCAATTGTTCTGTGTTGATGTTTTATTCCCAACTAGAGTGTAACGTGGGAACCCTGCTTTGTTTTTAACGTACTTGCCTTGCCTCGCATACAGCTGAGTGTGCAGTAGGTGCTCAGTAAACACTTGTTAAGTGAGTGGCAGTTGACTGAATTGCCCAGTGGAAGGTGGGGGCGGGGCCGACAGGAGAGTTTGCACAGACCGGAGGGATCCCTGAGCCTCATTTGTGCACTCTTGGGGCCTCGGCCAGTGTAGCTTCCATTTACGCATCCCAACCCCTGGAGCTGACTGCGAGCCTGCTGCTCCCTTCCCCGCACCGCTGTGGTTTTCATCGGTGTCGGGAAACTTGCCGCTGGCTAGTCTCAGGCGGGCGGGAGGTGAGCTCGGGTGGGACCTGATCAGGGCATCCACTGGAGCCGTTCTCCCTCCCTCTTGGCTTCCCCAGGCACCGGGAAGACCTCCACTCTGGTCAAGTACGCTGAGAAGTGGTCCGAGAGCAGGTTTCTGTACGTGACCTTTAACAAGAGCATCGCCAAGCAGGCCGAGCTCGTCTTCCCCAGCAATGTCATCTGCAAGACCTTCCACTCCATGGCCTACGGCCACGTCGGGCGAAAGTGAGCACCGCTGACCCCTTGCCATGGCCACACTGCAGTCCTCACTCCACGAAAAACTCAGTGCTTTTGTCTCCCTCTGCAGGCAGGGAGTGTAACTGTAGATTTAGCACTTTGTACTCTCACCCCGTGGAAACACATCATTTCCAATAACAGCATTGTGCTGAGGGAGGTGCTCTCATGTCTCTGCATTTGAGCCACAGAAAGTCACAGTGACTTGTCTGACGTTCAGTGTCACCAGTCCGGTTGGTCAGTGTAGACTTTCTTCAAAATGGGAGGGGAGAAGAGGGAGTTGAAGGGCCCTTGGCCCGGGGTTTCCGGGGCTTCTGAGCCAGCGTCCCCTCGGATGTGAGGGCTTCAGGAAACTTCTAGTGTCCCCCCCGGAGCCTCCTGGACTTTGGTTCACACCTTGGAGTGGTGGTGTCTGCCGTGAGCCACTTTGTCTTCTGGGTTATTAGGTGTGGATTCCAGAGAGCCTAACGAAGCCCTTTCCAGTCCTTCGAGGACCTTACTTGGTGCCTCTGGCTTTGTTTCTTCTTCCGTATGTGCCACTTTGTGACCCGGTGGTCTCGTCGGAGAGAAGGGGGTGGGGGTGGGGAGACACTCAACACCACATTGCTGGGGAAGTCCAATCCTATTCCTCTGGGCTGTGCCTTACAGGTACCAATTAAAGAAGAAACTGAATCTCTTCAAGTTAACACCCTTCATGGTCAACTCTGTCCTTGCGGAAGGGAAGGGTGGCTTCATCAGGGCCAAGCTAGTCTGTAAGACTCTGGAGAACTTTTTCGCCTCGGCCGATGAGGAGCTGACCATCGACCACGTGCCCATCTGGTGTAAGAACAGCCAAGGACAGAGGGTCATGGTCGAGCAGAGCGAGAAACTGGTGCGTGTCCCGGTCTCCCTGGGGCACAGGCCTGCGGAGCACTGACGTGGTGCGGGGTGTTTGACTCCTTCAGAGCCGCTGGCAGGAGGGAGAGGTGGAGGGGAGCCTGCAGGCCCGTCACGATGGCTGCGAAGTGCGCAGGGTTTTCTGTGGGGAACGCGCATCTCCCTCCGTCCTCACCCTGGTTCCCCCAGCCAGTGAGGCTCCTGCCAGGGTTTACAAGGGCTTGTCCTAGGGTCTGCTGGTCCTAGGATCAAGGGTGGAAATCTCTTTTCTAGTTTTTATTGAGTCTTTTCTGTCATTTGCCACCCTTTTTATGAATTGACTGTAAATCCAGAGGAATCACCCAGCCTTTCCTGGTTCATCAGATGCTGTGTCCTCTGAGTGACATTCAACCCCAGGCTGCGGTCCAGCCCCAGCTTTTTGCCCGTGTCGTGGAGCTAGGGGAGGTGAGGGAGGCGGTGACCTCTGTACCTGGGGGTGAACGCCTGATTTCAGGGTCCTCACTTGTGTGTCACCGTGTCACTTGGTTCTAGAACGGTGTCCTCGAAGCCAGCCGGCTCTGGGACAACATGCGGAAGCTGGGCGAGTGCAAGGAGGAGGCCTACCAGATGACGCATGATGGTACGCCACCTGCCGCCCCGCCCACCACCCGCCGAGCGCAGCTGCCCCTGCCGGGTTCTGACGCGTCTCCCCCCTTGTAGGCTACCTGAAGCTCTGGCAGCTCAGCAAGCCTCTACTGGCCTCTTTTGATGCCATCTTCGTAGACGAGGCCCAGGACTGTACCCCAGGTGAGGAGCCGTCAGGGCGTGGGGGTCCCACACACGCAGGGCGATGCCCGTGGTGAGGGGGAGGTCCATTATCCCTGGCCGTTGGAAGGAGGAGCACGTGATACGTGGTGGTTCAGAAATCCTCTGTTCTCTGACTTCGGATGTCAGCAGTCACCCCCTCCTCCCACCCAGAGCAGACTGACTTCCCTCCAGATGATTTGCTAGGGTTGTTCTTAAACTATTGGCCGAGCGCAGGTCATCAGGTGATCAGGGCCTGGGCTCATGCCCAGGGGGAGGGGTAGTCAAGTTGGAGCGAGAAGTTTGTGTTGTACGTTTTTCGAGGGGCTGATAGAAAATAGTGTGACTTTGTAGGTCAACCTGGGGCCTTACGTTTGTAATAATAGAGAAGGTAATTTGCCTCATTTTGTATTTGCCTGTGTGGTTTCTTATATTTAGTAATTTATTCAGAAGTAAAAATAACTTGCACTCCTAGGATTAGAAACAGCTTTTTCTGTCTCTTATAAAATCGTTTCTTTGGTTGAGAACACAGCCCTCCTTTCCTGGAGGGAAAGGTAACTCTTGTCCAGTGTGTGAGCTTCTTCACCCTTTTCTCTCTTCAGTTTGGCTTCTTTTTGCTCCGTGGGGTGGTGTTCCTTCAGCTCTCTTACCTTCCTTCTCGTTGGTTGCAGCTATCATGAACATCGTCCTGTCTCAGCCTTGCGGGAAGATCTTTGTAGGGGACCCACACCAGCAGATCTATACCTTCCGGGGTGCAGTCAATGCTCTGTTCACAGTCCCCCACACGCACGTCTTCTATCTCACTCAGGTAAGAGCTCGCTCTGCTCCTGAGTCCCCATCCGTGTGCATGCAAGCGCGGTGGCTCTGCCCGGTTCCCCAGTGTTTCCTGAGGGCCGGGCACCGTGCGGGCTTTGGCATCAGGCTCACAGCAGGTAGCACATCTGTGCTTCTAAGCGGTGGCTCCCCCTGCTTCTCAGGGGTCTGCAGAGTCAGAGCTGTTTCCATAGTAGCCATCTGACTTTCGGTGTGTTGACATTTGCACTGATGACGCGGGAGTCCACGCTGGCCCCAGCCTGCAATGTGCTCAGAGTCAGAAAGAAATCAGTTCATTTCAGAACGTCTTTGATGTGCAGGAAAAATGGTGACACTCATTCCTGCAGACCCTTGAGTGCGTGTCCCCAGCAGTCTGGGTGTGATTTGGAGAGCAGGGTAGATTTGCTTCGAAGAGACATTTGCTGGTCCCAGGGAATGAAGGGACTAAGGCTGCCCAGGCTGCGAGGCTCCTGCAGGGCCACACACCGTCTTTGTCTCCGTGGATTGCTCTTCCGTTTGTGTGACTTGAACGTGTGTGGGGAGACTCCTCGGATGGAGGGAGAGATGAGGGAGTGAGACCAGTGGGTGAGGCGTGAGGTGGGGTCTCTGAGTTGAGCTGGGGCAGTGGTAAGAAAAAGAGTATAGAAAACATGGTGGAGGAGTTGTCAAGGTTTGGGCTTGGGGGCACGAAGCAAAACCGTGTAGCTCTCAGGTCTCCAGATAGGACGTGCTGTTCTGGGAGCTCAGAAGGAGCCAGTGAGTCTCCGCAGGCAGACCCCTGTTCTGCACGGGGGTCGCCGCAGGGCGTCTCCGGGCGCCCTCCCAGGCGGAGCGGGGTGGCGGGGCCAGGCCTCGGCGGTGACGGTGCTGCGCTCGCATGCTCAGGGGCCGCTCACTCCTCTCGTCCTGTCTGACAACAGAGCTTCAGGTTTGGTGTGGAAATCGCGTACGTGGGAGCTACCATCCTGGACGTCTGCAAGAGAGTGAGAAAGAAGACGCTGGTGGGAGGGAACCATCAGAGTAAGGCTTTTGGTCCCTCTTCTTGTGTTTGTTACCAAGGTTAGTTTTCCTCTTTATTTGGATTTGCCGTAGAGTTTGTGCTCTCTCCCCAAAGGTGGCATCAGAGGTGACACCAAGGGGCAGGTGGCCCTGCTGTCCCGGACCAATGCCAACGTGTTTGACGAGGCCGTCCGGGTGACGGAAGGAGAGGTGCCCGCCCGCATCCACTTGATTGGGGTAAGAGCGCCTTCCCGTCCTGCGCCCACAATCAGCCGGGGTGAACGCCCGGCGTCCCCAGGGTTGTCCTGCGAGCGCGCATGCGGGCTGTGGCTTCCTGCTGCCTGCGCTGTGACTGGCGCCCTCCCCCGGGCACGCCGGCGAAGCGAACCTCCTGGTGTAGGGCCAAGCAGGGCTGCGGCCGTCTCCCTCCAGCCCTTAAGGAGAACGAGGGCCCTCCTGCCCTTTGTGCACACGAGGCTGCCCGCTCCGTGCGCATGTCCCGCTGCATTGGTCGTTACTTTTGTTTTGTTTTGTTTTTTTCTGGGAGGTAATTAGTTTTATTTACTTACTGTATTTATTATTATGATTTTTTATTTAACTGGAGGTACTGGGGATCGAACCTGTAACCTCATGCATGCTGAGCAGGCGCTCTCCCACCGAGCTGTTCCTCCCCCGTGTTGGTCGTTTCTGTAAGACGACTGAGCCTTCGTCCCTCTCCTGGGCCCAGTCAGTGCTCAGCTCATGCCCCCAGGTGGAGCAAGGCCGGATGGGGTCGGTCAGGCCCTCTCCCCCAGCCGCTGACCTTGTCACACACGGTAACCTGGGCCCGTAGGTGGTCTCTGGTTCTTTTCTCGAGAGATGGTGAGTGTGTGTGCTGCACACTGGTGTTCGGGTCTCTTCTGTAGTCTTTGGTGCACTTCTGTTACGTGTCTGGAAAGTAGCTGACTTCAATCGCATTTTTGACCAGAAGGCAGCGTCGTGCAGCTGGTTCTTGCCTTTTTCTGAAACGTAGGAGGCTCTGAGGGAGCAGCCTGAGCTCAGCACCTGGGAGCGCTGGGTTTGCAGGCTGCGCTGTAGCCTCGTGCGTTTGTGCCTGACTGGGGTTCCCACTCGCTGTCTTTATGCCTTGGGTGCAGTTGGAGATCCGTTTCCAAGAAACCATCTCATTTCAGAATCCCACCTCTACATTAGCTTTACTTTGTTAAGAAGAGCATCAAAAAAAAAAAACTGCAAAACAAAAATCCCACCTGAAAAACTTTTTCAGGGAATTAGGTCATTTGGATTGGACAGAATCATCGATATTTGGACCCTTCTGCAGCCGGAGGAGGAACGGAAGAAACGTGAGTCCCTCCTGGCGGTGGGGTGGCGGCCCTAGGGGGTGAGGGCGGGCGCTGGTCAGGCTGGTCTGTGTCAGTTTTCTTGCTCTGGAGCAAAGGAGCTAGTGTTGCTCCTTTCCCAGTAAGGGTGGGATGCCCAAGGCCGCCTGTTTTCAGAGGGACCCATAGCTCTCTCCAGATCTTTCCCCGGGTCTGGATTTCTCACTCAGGCTGGCCCCACTGTCTCTGTCCACCCGGCAACTTCACACATGAGACCTGTGCAGGGACCCCACGCCAGCGTTTCTCACATTCTCAGGCACCTTTCTTTTTCTCATTGCTGCGCTGTTTCAAGTCCCTGAGACAGGGCAGGATCTCAAGGGCAGGGCTGTTGACCCTCAGTTTGGAGCCGGAGAGGCTGCCAACCAGGTCGCCAAGCTGACTTGCTCAGGAGCACAGGGCAGGCTGGGACGTGGTTGGTCCGGAACCGGAACCCAGTCTCCCAGCCCCTGAGACCTTGGTCTCCACGCGGTGGGTCAGGACCGTGGAGCTGGCACAGCAGGTGTCACCCTGACCTGCCATGTGTTCTGTCTAGAAAACTTGGTCATCAAAGACAAGTTCATTAGAAGGTGGGCACACAGAGAGGGCTTCAGCGGCTTCAAGCGGTACGTGACTGCCGCCGAGGACAAGGAGCTGGAAGCCAAGATTGCGGTGGTGGAGAAGTACAACGTCCGGATCCCGGAGCTGGTGCAGCGCATCGAGCGGTGCCACATCGAGGACTTGGACTTCGCAGGTTCGGCTCTGCCCCTCGTTCCCCAGTGCTTCCTGCCTGCAGGGCGTCATGCGCGACCACGACTGGGGTGGGGAGCAGGGCTGCATTCTCCCCAGCCCCCATTTCTGTTCTTCCAGCCGGCAGGAGGGGCTCCCATGTCCCGGCTCTGCCCCATGGGGCCCCTGGCCCTCTTCTCGCCTCTGTCTCTTCGCATGTAGGAAACGGGCGGTGGGCCAGTGGCCACGAGCGCTGGGCCGTGACTCTGACGTGTCCTTGCCGGCTGCGGATTTCTCCTTTCCCCTCATCTGTTTATTTCGCTTGCTGTTTTTTTCCCAACTGAGGTTTGCTCTTCCTCCTTGTCTCTGCAGCGCTGCCGCCGACATGAGAGCATAGTTGGGGAGTGTGGTGGGAAGGGGACCCCCCTCTCCTTCTGTTCCCCTTCTGCCCCCGTCTGACCAACTTCTGTGTTTCCTTCCAGAGTACATTCTGGGCACCGTGCACAAGGCCAAAGGCCTGGAGTTTGACACTGTGCACGTCCTGGACGATTTCGTGAAAGTGCCTTGTGCCCGGCACAACCTGGCTCAGCTGCCCCACTTCAGAGTCGGTAAGGAGACCGCCGGGCCCGAGGCCCTCTGGGAGGCTCCACTGTGGGATGCCTTGCTGTTTCTGGACGGTGTGGCCTCTTGGAAGGGTCCCTCTGAAACAAAGTTCTCCTAGTCCGACGTTCATTACTCTTAGACGGTGCTTTTGGGTAGCTAGGCTTCTGGGGCCTGCTGCTTGCAGGGCGCTGCGCCGATTGCGCCCTGTCTGACCCGCACCAGCTCTTCAGCTGCGGGTTTCTCACCAGCAGACGGAAGCTCTAAAACATGCCAGTTTGCCTGTTCGCCTCGGGTTTTTTTTCTTTCTTTATTTCCTTTTTATTGAAGAAGCTTGAAAATCATAAAAGGTGACATCATAAGCATTCTATTGTTTGTCTGCTTTTGTATCAGTTTATGCTCAAGGCTGGTTGTTAAACTCTAAGCGTCAATGCTGTTGCTTTGGTTTTAAATTGTAGAATAAAACCATTTGAAGTTTTCCTACAAACCAACCCTATTAGTCACGGATTCAAAATTGGGGGCATAGCATGCATTGGCGGGCCGAAAGTAGAAATACCAAAAATTCCTTATCTTTGATGAAAAGATTCATCAAATGAGAGAAAGACATAGTATTGAACATAAATTGGAGTGGAGCGGGGAAGGAAGTGGCCGTGGGAGACATTGCTGCTTTATGCTGAGGAAGAGAAGTGCATTTAACATACTGCTGCCTTTTGCTCTCTAGTCACTGCAGGTTTGCATTTTTAAATTTTTTGGTAGCAGCTTTATTGAGATACGATTCATGTACCATACAGTCCACCCATTTAAAGTGCAGTTTTAGTGGCTTTTCACATATTCACGCTCAGCCGCTCTTTTATCGAGATCTCGCCTTCATCCTGTGACCGAGAGGAGAAGGGGGTGAGGCCGGCAGCAGAGACCTGTAGTAAAGACCTCATGAGACGCTGCAGACTGGACTGAGAGGTGGTGTCGGGGGAAGGAAGAGATGTGGCCTTTGAGACGATTAGGCTCGGGTTTGGCGCCTGGCCCTCGCTGAGCCAGGGCCTGTCTGTTGAAGTGGTGTCACCCCGTAGGCCTCAGTCTCCCCCGAGCCCTCCGGGGTGGCCGTGGCGAGCAGTGGGAGAGACAGCGGGCCACACTGCAGGCACATCACCTGTGTCCCATGACCGGTCAGTGGGCCGCCAGGGTTTTCTAGAAGCAGCACAAACAAAAACTTAGTTTTCGGTGCCCCTAGTCTGTCGGGGTTCTGTTTGTTCTTGGAGTTGGTGTCTGGAGGACAATTTTGTTTATAAAGCCAGCAAATCTGGAAGGTTTTTTCGGGGGGGAGATGGGGAGAGTAGTAAATGTTAAGATGAGAACATAAATTTTTGTCAGCAGGCTTCTGTGTTGATATGTTTTTTCCTGTTGCTTTCTTCAGAGTCGTTCTCTGAGGACGAATGGAACTTACTGTATGTGGCGGTAACTCGTGCCAGGAGGCGCCTCATCATGACCAAGTCCTTGGAGAACATCCTGACGTTGGCTGGGGTGAGAGGCACTGGCAGCGCAGGCCGACTGAACGGTGTCTTGACTTGAACGCTTGAGTGAAGGGCCCTCGGGGCCGTGGGTTGGGGGCCTGTGTCAGAGGAGAAGGGCTTTCCTTTCCTGGGCGCGGAGGCTGCTTGCCGGTGGGGAAGGGCCCTTCCTCCCCGAAGAAACAAAAACCTGGGTTCTTTTCTAAAGTCGTTCTTAATTCAGTTTGGAAAGTTCTTTTAAGAACATCAGCTGTGCTCCTGTCTGCCTGAGCTGCTCCCACTCAGTCAGCGCTCCGCGCCCCCAGGGAGAGAGCAGCTCGAGTGCCCTGTGTCTGCACTCGCTCCCTCCCGCTTCCCGGTCCCCTTTGAACTGGCAGCAGCTGCTGCCACCAGTATCTGGAAAGAACATGTCCTTGCTGGGGGAGCGGATGTCCTGGCACCTCCTGTCCTTGTCACTAGCTGAGAGGTGGGACTGTGTCAGCCGCTCACGGCACCCCCGCAGACCAGTCTTCTCCCCTACGCCCTTGTTTCCGCATCTTTCCTGCCTTTCAAGGTCTGGGGTATAAGCTGTTTAGTTTTTTCAAGCCTCTTGGGTTGAAACTAGAACAGAAATTTGAGCTGACAGTTACAAGTTGGTCCATCCTTCCCTGAAGCAAAGGTCCTTAAGTCTGAAACCTGAAACTTACATGTCAAAGTGACCATAGATCCTGTTTCTTCCGTAGCGGGCTCTGACACGTGTAAGATTGTGCGCAGGGGATGATTTAGTTCCCGGGCTGTAGTGTGTGTTCTCCCAGGAGGTGAGGGCATGGGAGCCAGGAGTCTCAGAATCACTGCCAATGGCTTTGACCCTAGGCGATGGGTGTGTGTGTGTGGGGGGCATAGGAGGCAGTTTTCAGTAAGGGGTGTCCAGAGTCTCCGAGTTGTTGGGTGCTGGTCTGACAGAAGCCGCATACTCGTCACTGAATATTCACCACGTGACTGGTGTGCTGCACGCATGTGTCTGGACCGCGAGGGTGGGAGAGTAGGTGGGAGAACCCCCTCCCCTCGCAGAGATGGGTTCCCAGAGGGGAGAGGGATGGCAAAGCAGGAAGCCCAGTTTTGAGGAGTACGTTGGCGCTTAAGAGGCAGGCAGGGCAGAGAAGATGTGACCTGTCCCAACAACGAAACCTTCTAGCGCGAGACCGGTTTCCTTGCGATTCGGTCGC